ACCCTGGTGATTAGTCCCAGGAAGGGTTCCCCTATAGTAGGGGTACATCCTAGTGATTATGCCAGGAGAGTGGCCCCCTATAGTGAGGTGTACATCGGTGATTAGTGCCAGGAGAGTGGTTCCCCCCTTAGGAGGGTAATCCTGAGTGATTGTCCCAGGAGAGGGGGTTCCCCCTAGTGAGGTTACACCTGAGGATTGTCCCAGGAGAGTGGTTCCCCTTAGTGAGGTGTACCCCCGAGTGATTATGCCGGAGGTGGTTTTCCCTTAGTGGGGGTGTACACCCGGGGTTTTATGCCAGGAGATGGTTTCTCCCCCTTAGTGAGGTGTAATCCTGATGTTAGTCCCGGAGAGTGGTCTCCTATAGGGGTACACCCCGAGTGTTTAGTCCGGAGAGTGGTTTCCCCCTATGTGAGGTGTAACTGGTTTCCAGGAGAGTGGTTCTCCCTATATGAGGTTCATCCTGAGTGATTATTTGCCAGGAGAGGGTTTTCTCCTATGTGGGGTTTAAAATGATTTGCCGGGAGAGGGTTCCCCTTAGTAAAGGTTTGTACCCCCTGAGTGATTAGTGCCGGGGAGGGTTCTCCCTTAGGAGGTTAACTGATTTTTGCCAGGAGAGGGTTCTCCCTATGTGGGGTTTGTAACTGTTTTTCCGGAGAGGTTCCCCCTATAGTGAGGTGTAACTGAGTTTGTTTCTGGCAGCACAGGCACATGGTTCAGTGCTCATAATGCCCCATACACTCCACACCACACTTCCTTTTTTGGGCAGACAGTCCATGGTTCAGGCTCTAATGCCCCATCCTCCACACCAATTCCTTTTTTGGCCAGCACGTCACAGGGTTCCTCATATGCCCCTAACCCCAACCCACTTCTTTTTTTTGGAGCACATACATGTTCGTGTTTAAAATGCCCCATCACCCCCCCAACTTCCTGTTGAAAAAAATCCCCACATTTTTTATACAGTCTGGTGTAAGGGAACCAGGTGAAAACTAAGTTGAGTGTGAAAGGGAACCCTGGTGACAACTACGTTAGGTATAAGGGAACCTGGGACAACTACAGTCGAGGTGTAAGGGACAATGGTTTACAACTACAGTCGAGGGAAAGGGGAAACCCATGGTGAAACACGTTAGTGTGTAGGGAAAACCATAGGACAATACAGTCGAGTGTGAAGGGGAAAAACCATGGTGACAAAACAGTTGGTGTGTAAGGAACCAGGTTGACAACTACATCGAGGGAAAGGGGAACCCATGGGAAAAATACATTGGGTGTGGGGAAACCCAGGGGTGACAACTACAGTTTTGTGTAAGGGACCTGGTGAAAACTACAGTTGGGTTAGGGAACCTGGGACAACTACATTGAGTTTTTAAAGGGAACCATGGTGCAACACAGCTGGTTTTAAAGGGGGACCAGGTGACAAACAGTTGATTTAAAGGGAACCATGGGAAAACATTGGTTGTAAGGGAACCATGGTGACAACTACATCTGGGGGTTTTAGGGAAAACCGGGGGCAACTCAGTCTGAGTGTTAAGGGAACCATAGTGCCAATACTCTGAGTGTGAAAGGGAACCATTTTGAAAAATACAGTCAGTGTGAAGGGAACAGGGTGAAAAACTACAGTCTGAGGGTTGTAGGGAACCATGGTGACAAAACGTCGAGTGTGGGGGAACCCATGGTGACAACTACATTTGAGTGTGAGGGAACCAGGGTGACAATACAGTCTGAGGGGAAGGGAACCAGGGGTGAAAAACCACAGCTGAGGGGGTGAAAGGGAAAAACCAGGGGTGACAACACTCTGAGTGGTAAGGGAACCTGGGAAAAAACTCGTCTGATTTTAAAAAGGGAACCATGGTGACAACTACAGTCTGAGTGTGTAAGGGAACCATGGTGACAACTACAGTCTGAGTGTGTAGGGAACCCATGGTGACAACTACAGTCTGGTGGTAAGGGAAAGGGGTGCCCAATACGTTGAGTGTGTAGGGAACCATGGGACAACTACGCGATAAAAGGGGGACCCAGGGGTGACAACTCTTTGGGTGTGTAAGGGAACCATGGTGACAACTACAGTCTGAGTGTGTAAGGGAACCATGGTGACAAACATCTGGGGGTTGTGGGGGAACCTAGTGACAACTCATCTGAGTGTTAGGAAAAACCATGGTACAATACGTTGGTGTGTAAGGGAACCATGGTACAACTACTCTGGGGGTTTGTAAGGGAACCAGGGGTGAAAACCCCAAATTTGAGTGTGTGGGAAACCAGGGTGAAAATCAGTCTGATTTTGGTAAGGGAACCTGGGCAATACAGTTGGGTGTGGGGGAACAGGGGTGACAATACATTGGTGTGGGGGGGAACCCTGGGGACATACATCGAGTTTTTGTGGGGAACCTGGTGACAACTACAGTCGGGTGTGAAAGGGGAAACCCATGGGACAACACAGTCGAGGTGTAAGGGAAACCATGGTGAAAACTCGTCTGAGGTAAAAAAGGGCCCATGGTGAAAAACCCCTCTGAGTTTTTGAAAGGGAAAACCATGGGAAAATACAGTTGAGGTGAAGGGAAAACCTATACAAACGTCTGTTTTGGAAAGGGGAACCAGGGTGACAACTACGTTGAGTGTGAAAAGGGAACCAGGGAAAACTACAGTCTGGTTTTAAAAACCAGGGTACAACAAAGTCTGAGGTGAAAGGGAAACCAAGTCCCCTACGTCTAGGTGTAAGGGAACAGGGGTAAAAACTACGTCGAGTGTGTAAGGGAAACCATGGTGAAAACTACGTCTGGTTTTTGGGAACCATGTGAAACTACAGTCTGAGTGTGTGGGGAACCATAGGCCCAACTACTTTGAGGTGAAAGGGAACCAGGTGACAACAAAGTCTGGGTGTAAGGGAACCCTAGTGACAATACAGTTGGTGTGAAGGGAACCAGGGTGACAACCACGTTGGTGGTTGGGAACCATGTGAAACTACGTTTTAGTGGGGTAAGGGAACCTGGTGAAAAACCCCGTTTGTTTTGGGAACCATGTGAAAACTACGTCGATGTGAAAGGGAAAACCCAGGGTGAAACACATCGGGTTTTGTAAGGGAACATGGTGACAATACATCTGAGGTGAAAGGGAACCATGGTGACAACTACTTTGGGTGTAAGGGAAATAGTGACAACTCTTGAGGTTAAGGGAACCATGGTGAAAAATACAGTTGAGTTTTGTAGGGAACCATAGTGAAAACCAGTCGAGTGTGTAGGGAACCATAGTGAAAACTACTTTGAGTGTGTAAGGGAAACCCATGGGTAAAAACTACGTTGAGTGTGAAAGGGGAAACCCATAGTGACAACTACAGTCTGGTGTGAAGGGAAAACCATGGTAAACTACGTTGGTGGTTGGGAAAATAGGACAACTACAGTCTGGGGTGAAAGGGGAAAACCATAGGAAAACTACAGTTGAGGTGAAAGGGGAACCAGGTGACAACACAGTCTGGTGTGAAAGGGGAAACCATAGTGACAATACAGTCTGAGTTTTAAAGGGAACCATGGTGACAAACAGTCCTCTTGCGTTTTCTTTGATAAAATCCCCCCTTCTCTCACATCAAAGGGGTTTTTCCATCAGACGTTTTAGTTCATGTCTGCGGGTAGTCCTATGAGGGAAAAAGGGTGCCTTTTGGGGCATCAGACAGTTCATTTTTCTTCTCTGACCCCTCAAGAGTCCCTCGGGGCTGGGGAAAACCCCAACAGCACCTGCGGGGATAAGTAAAAGGGGGGGCGTTACACTTGTATAAAGCCAAATGTTTTTTAAGGTTTGTGGGGTCACAGGTCATGCAGGGGCAGACTTACTCCCCCCTACATGGTTACGGAGGAGCGGCCCCAGGTCTGCAGCAGGCTCCATCCCCAGCAGGCCCATGCCAGCAGGGCCCATGCCGCAGGGGCCATTCCATGCCAGAGGCTCCTGCCCATGCCAGCGGCCCGCTCCATGCCAGCAGGCTCCATGCTCAGCAGGCTCCATGCTCCATGCCAGCAGGCTCCATGCTCCAGCCCAGGCCCCAGCTCCTGCCACGACCCCATGCTCCATGCCGCAGGGCTCCTGCCCATGCCAGAGGTCCAGTCCATGCCAGCGGCCCATCCCAGCGGATCCAGCCATGCCAGCGGGCTCCATGCCCAGCCAGCGGTCCGCCCCATGCCAGGGCTCCATGCCCCACCCCCAGCAGGCCCCCCATGCTCCATGCCAGCAGGTCCTTCCCCATGCGCAGGTCCATGCTCCATGCCAGCAGGCCCTTTGCCCATGCCAAGGCGCCAGAGGGCCCATGTCCCCAGCAGGCCCACTCCATGCCAGCAGGCTCCATGCTCCATGCCAGCAGGCTCCAGTGCTCCATGCCAGCAGGCTCCATGCCAGCAGGCCATGCTCAGCCAGCGGGTCCTGTCCATCCAGCAGGTCCTGCTCCTGCCGCAGGCTCCAGCCCATGCCAGCAGGTCCATGTCCATGCCAGCAGGCTCCTTTGCTCATGCCAAGGCCCCACCCCATGCCAGCAGGCGCCACAGGCCCCACCCATCCACAGGCCCCTCTCCATGCCAGCAGACTCCATGCCCATGCCAGCAGGCCCATGCCCCATGCCAAGGCTCCGCCAGAGGCCCCATGCCCTCCCGGGGCTCCATGCTCCATGCCACAGGCTCCATTCCATGCCAGCAGGCTCCTCCCCATGCCACCGGCCCATGCCCCATCCAGCAGGCCCCATGCCCATGCCAGCAGGCTCCAGCCAGCGGGGGGCCCCTCTCCTGCCAGCAGGCCCCATACTCCTCCCAAGGCCCCATACCTCCCAGCGGGTCCGCTCCTCCACGGGCCCCATGCTCCATGCCAGAGGCTCCCTGCTCATCCCAGGGGGTCCATGTCCATCCAGCGGCCCCATCCCCCAGGGCCAGCGGGCCCATGCTCCATCCACAGGCCCTTTCCCAGAGGCCCAGGCCCCATGCCGCAGGCTCCATGCTCCATGCCACGGGCCCAGCTCCATGCCAGCGGGCTCCTCCATGCCAGCGGGCTCCAGCTCCAGCCAGAGGCTCCTGCCGCAGGCCCCATGCTCCATGCCAGGCCCAGCCCCAATAACTGCAGTACAGCTGCCCAGCAATACCAATTGTGTTTTTCACATGTGATTCTAAATTTCCCCTTGTATGTCTGCCGGGGTGTGGCTTCAACCGGTTTACCTTTGTTTTTTTGAAATGATGGGAATTTTTAAACCGGTGTCCCTGGTCTCGGTCGCTTCAACCAATAAGGGTTGGTTTCACGTTCTGATTCCCTTCTTGTTAGCTGGAAATTCTCCCCACATAAAAATTTTTGCCCGTTTTTGGGGGGCGCCCCAACCCGGGGGTCGGGTAATTTGGCAGAATTTGTTTTTTCTTCCAAAACCCTTTGACCCCTCCCCCTTCTTTAAAACCCAAACTTTCCTCTTAAAAGGCTTCTGAAAAACCAGGTGATTTTTAAAAACCCCCTCCACCCAATGGACCCTTCTTTCTTTTCAAACCCAACCATATGCCCTCTTCTCTCTTCTCTTTAAACCCACATGTGACCCCTCTCTCTCCTACCCACCAAAGCCCCCTCTTCTCCCCCTTTCTCTTTCCCCCACCATATGCCCCTTCTCTTCTTCTTTTACCCCCCCGTGACCTCTTTTTTCTCCTTCTTACAACCAAGGACCCTCCTTTCCCCTCCCCTCTTACCCCCATAGTGACCCTTTCCTCTTCCCCACCAAAATGACCCTCCCCTTACCCCAAAGGGACCTCTCCTCTTTACCCCCCCAAAAACCCTGTCTTTACCCCCCATATGCCCCTTCTTTTTTTCCCCCTTTTTGACTCCCTCTTCTTACCCCCCCCCAAAGGACCTCCTCTTTTCCCCACCAAACCTCTTCCCTTTACCCACCTATCCTCCTTTTTACCCACCTGGCCTTCTCCTTTTCCCCCAAGTCCCCCTTCTCTTTTACCCCCCAAAGTGATTCCCTCTTACCCCCTATAAACCCCCCCCTCCATTACCCCACTAATGCCCGCTCTCTATACTCACCTATTTCCTTTTTCCCCCCCTGTACCTTTCTTTCCCTAAATCTCCTTCCTCTTCTCCTTACCACCATAAGACCTCTCTCTTTTACCACATATGCCCTCCTCTCTTACCCCCCCATAGTGCCCCTTTTCTCTTACCCACCTAGTGACCTCTCCTCTTACCCCCCCATTAGTCATCTTCCTTTTACCCACCATAGGTTTTTCTTCCCCCAACCATATTGACCTCCCTATTTTTACCCCAAAGTGATCTCTTCTCTTACCCCCCATAGAGACCCTCTCTCCCTCTCTTCCCCCCAAAGTGCCCTCTCTCCTCTTACCCAGCAATAGGGGACCTTCTCTTTTCTTTTTACCCAGATAATGCCCCTCCGCTCTCTACCCCCATAGTGACCCTTCTCTCTCTTCCCACCATTGTGACCTCTCTCTCTCTTACCCCCATAATGACCTCGCTTCTTACCCCCCATATAAACCCCCTTCTTTACCCACCATAGGACCTCTCTCTCACCACCATAGTGCCTCTCTTTTAAACCCCCATATGATCTCTTCTCTCTCTTCTTCCCCACCATAATGACCTCCCCTTTTACCCCCATAGTGCCCCTTCTCTTTACCCCCATAGGACCCTCCTCTTTACCCCCATAGTGACCTCTCTTCTTACCCACCATGGGATCTCTCTTACCCCCATATGACCCTCTTTTTTTACCCACCATAGACCCCCCCCAATCTTTTACCCGAAGTATCTCTCTTGTCCCCCCCCCATAGAGACTCTTTCTCTTCTTCCCCCCAAAAAAGTGACCCCCTTCTCTCTTCCCCGCATGGGCCCCCCTTTTTCTTTCTCTCTCTTACCCAGCAAAGACCTGTTTCTCTTACCCACCATGTGACCTCTCCCTTTTACCCACCTTGGGCCCTCCTTTTACCCACCATATGCCTCGCTCTCTACCCCCCCAAAGTGCCTCTCCTCTTACCCCCAAGTACCTTCTCTCCTTTACCCCCCATAGTCCCCTCCTCTCTTACCCCCCATAGTGAACTCTCTCTCCTCCCCTTCTTACCCACCATAGTGCCTCTTTCTCTCCCCAAATTGGACCCTTCCCCCGGTCAAAACTGGGGGGCAGGGATAAAAGGCAGGACTTTCTTCTAACCTGGTCCCAGTTCTGGTTTGCATCTGTTTGGCCAGGACAACGACTATAGGAGCAACACAAACAGATCTGGAACCAGGTGGTAGCATGTAGCATTGTAGCATGTAGAGTGTAGCTGATGATGAAAATACTTTCTAACCCAGAGTAGTGTTTACACCCATACTGGGTGCTCCCTCAGTCTAAAGCCACTCTAACAAGTCATAGGTGCAACAATCAGGACCCTATAAACCAACACTTAGTTAGACTACTTCAAGGCATTCTACAGGCTTTTTTTTAAATTATTTTTAAAAAACTCTCACCTTCCAGATCTGATATCCTTCTTCAAAACTGTCCTCAGTTGAGTTGTGAGTGCTTCGTTAGTCAGTCTGATATCTCTTAGAACCTGGACCAGGAACAAGAGTGTCAGCGTAGCGTAGCGTAGCGTAGCGTAGCGTAGCACAGGAAGGGAGCACAGGGTAGTGGATGGCTTGTTGGAGCGGAGGGGAAACCCACAACACACCAGACAGACTACAACTTTATATTATCAACAGCCCCCCCTCATGTGCTCCTAGCGGCACAGAGACAACCCGCTCTCAGTTTGGCTGAGGAGGCCGCCTTGCCGTCTCCTCCTCCTCCTCACCCCTCCTCCCCCTGTCTTGACCTTTTTTGTAGGGGCTTCTTGGCTTGCACTCTCTAAGGGAGGGAGGGAGGGGGAGAGAGGGGAGAGAGGGAGAGAGGGAGAGAGAAGGGAGGGAGGGAGGGAGGGAGGGAGGGAGGGAGGGAGGGAGGGAGAGAGAGAGAGGGAGGGAGAGAGGGAGGGAGGGAGTAGACCCCTGCTGAAGTATGTTTTAAAGACATCCCTCCCTCTCTCTTTCTGTAGCAACAATAAAGACAGAAAGCAGGTGTTTGTGAAAAGAGAGAAAGTCAGAGCCGGTAAGATTTGAGATGGGGTTAAGTTCAACAGGAAGTCAACTTTAGCGGAGAAAGATGGAAATATTTATGGACATGACATCAAAATATACAAGTGTTTATCTTCATGGCTGAGAGTCAGCACATTGGCACGTAGTCATTAGACTGGTATTATCTAGGCATGTGACCCTCATTGAAAAGGTGAGGGAGCGAGCGAGAGATACGTAGAGGTAGGTGGGCAGAGCAGGAGAGCAGGTTTTCTGTTGCAACTATGGCCTATTTATTGCCTTACCTCCATAACTTGCTACATTTGCACACACTGTATATATATTTTCTGTTGTATTTTTTTTGACTTATGTTTTGTTTTACCCCCATATGTAACTCTGTGTTGTTGTTTTTTATCGCACTGCTTTGCTTTATCTTGGCCAGGTCGCAGTTGTAAATGAGAACTTGTTCTCAACTGGCTTACCTGGTTACATAAAGGTGAAATAAAATAAATATAAATAAATGTTCAGTTCTCCCTCTCTCAATTCCAATTCAAAGGGCTTTATTGGCATGGGAATCTTTATTTTCTCTCTCTTTCTCTGTGTTGACACGTCCTCATGGACTGTTGAGGTTTCCCTGTACAGAGATGAACAGTTTTAAAAGGCTTCTAAAGTTTGTCATTTCAATTTTGAAATTTCAGACTTGATTTGCCCCTAACGAAAAATGTATCAATCCCTACAAAAATGGCCATTAATTATAATCCACATAATAAACTGCCTCCAATTTAAGATCCTACATCTGTAACTGATTAAAACCCTGATTATGAGTACTTATATGTTGAATGGTTGCCTCAGGATTGTCAACGGAAACACATTTAAGTCAAACTTGAGTTTCCAACAACCAGAGAACAGTCAGAGCTATGTGTTTAAGAGAGTTGGCACAGTACATACCGTATTGGACATGCCAGGCTGCCCATCCACTGGTTCCTTCATCTCCACTCTCGCTTTTCTCTGAGAGACTATGACTCTGCTGCCCTCCTTTGGCCAGGGATATTCACTGCAGGCCAGGGTTTAGGGTTAGGGTAACGGTCACTGTTTCAAGCTCAGAGCGGTTGACTTTTTCCAGTTTGGGCCTGAGTTTTCCTTGAAGTCCGGTCTGTCTACAGTGTTGTTACTCCAACAGGTCGGCATGAGTTTGTAGAGGAAGTCTGGACATTTATCTGGAGCCGGCATCCTGTAGCAAGCAATGATGTCGCTGTAGCCTGGATCACAGAGAAAAGCCATAAGATCAATGAATCAACCAATCAAATGTATTTATTAAGCCCTTTTTACATCACTAGTTGTCACAAAGTGCCTTAACGGTCGTGAGAGGAAACTTTTCCTGATCCAAACGTTCATTTCTGCCCGACGTAGAATTCTATGCAATTCATTGTCGGGTCTTCAGGCTTTTCAAACCTCTCCTCGGAAACCACCAGCCGTTCCATGTATTTGAACTATTCTAGAACACCTGATTTAACTTGTCAACTAATCATCCAAGCCCTTGAATAGGTGAATCAGGTGAGCTAGTTGAGGGCTAGAACACGGAGAGGTTTGAGAACCACTGGGTGATCATGACATACCTGGATAGGGGTCCCCACCATAGCATCTCGTAGAGCTGATCCCCAAAGGACCAGACATCTGACCTGTTGGAGAAAACGACCGTGGCTCTGAACCCCAAAGGACAAGACATCTGACCTGTTGGAGAAACGACCGTGGCTGATGGCCTCTGGGGAACTCCACTTGCAGGGGACATTCTTCTCCTCAGACACGTAGAAGGGCTCCTGAGGAATGAGGATGTGAAAAGAGATCGAAGGTTCTATGAGCTAGGGACTATGCTAGTCACTCAATGGGATATCCTTCCGCCTGGCGTCAGGATGAGACGAGATATTCATATCAGAGTAATTCCATGCCACGGGGTGTGATGCACGTTCCCCAACCCCCTATAAATGCCTTGGTGCGTAGCATCACTTCCTCGAGACTCTTACAGAGGCTACAAGAGAACCGACGTCTGGACAAGGGTGCGATGTGCACGGTCCAGTAGGGGATCCGACGCCAAAACATCCGGTCCCATTGCATCCTTCAGTAGCTTGGTGAAGAAGTCGGTGGGGCGAGAGCCCATAGTGACCTCTCTCTCTCTCTCTCTCTCTTACCCACCATAGTGACCTCTCTCTCTCTCTTACCCACCATAATGACCTCGCTCTCTCTTACCCACCATAGTGACCTCTCTCTCTCTTACCCACCATAATGACCTCGCTCTCTTACCCACCATAGTGACCTCTCTCTCTCTTACCCACCATTGTGACCTCTCTCTCTCTTACCCACCATAATGACCTCGCTCTCTTACCCACCATAGTGACCTCTCTCTCTTACCCACCATAGTGACCTCTCTCTCTTACCCACCATAGTGACCTCTCTCTCTTACCCACCATAGTGACCCCTCTCTCTTACCCACCATAGTGACCTCTCTCTCTTACCAACCATAATGACCTCGCTCTCTATTACCCACCATAATGACCTCGCTCTCTATTACTCACCATAGTCATCTCTCTCTTACCCACCATAGTGACCTCTCTCTTACCCACCATAGTGATCTCTCTCTCTCTCTCTCTCTTACCCACCATAATGACCTCTCTCTCTTACCCACCATAGTGACCTCTCTCTCTTACCCACCATAGTGACCTCTCTCTCTTACCCACCATAGTGACCTCTCTCTCTTACCCACCATAGTCATCTCTCTCTTACCCACCATAGTGATCTCTCTCTCTTACCCACCATATTGACCTCCCTATCTCTTACCCAGCATAGTGATCTCTCTCTCTTACCCACCATAGAGACCTCTCTCTCTCTCTCTTACCCACCAAAGTGACCTCTCTCTCTCTTACCCAGCATAGTGACCTCTCTCTCTTTCTCTCTCTTACCCAGCATAATGACCTCGCTCTCTTACCCACCATAGTGACCTCTCTCTCTCTTACCCACCATTGTGACCTCTCTCTCTCTTACCCACCATAATGACCTCGCTCTCTTACCCACCATAGTGACCTCTCTCTCTTACCCACCATAGTGACCTCTCTCTCTTACCCACCATAGTGACCTCTCTCTTACCCACCATAGTGATCTCTCTCTCTCTCTCTCTTACCCACCATAATGACCTCTCTCTCTTACCCACCATAGTGACCTCTCTCTCTTACCCACCATAGTGACCTCTCTCTCTTACCCACCATAGTGACCTCTCTCTCTTACCCACCATAGTCATCTCTCTCTTACCCACCATAGTGATCTCTCTCTCTTACCCACCATATTGACCTCCCTATCTCTTACCCAGCATAGTGATCTCTCTCTCTTACCCACCATATTGACCTCCCTATCTCTCTCTTACCCACCAAAGTGACCTCTCTCTCTCTTACCCAGCATAGTGACCTCTCTCTCTTTCTCTCTCTTACCCAGCATAATGACCTCGCTCTCTTACCCACCATAGTGACCTCTCTCTCTCTTACCCACCATTGTGACCTCTCTCTCTCTTACCCACCATAATGACCTCGCTCTCTTACCCACCATAGTGACCTCTCTCTCTTACCCACCATAGTGACCTCTCTCTCTTACCCACCATAGTGACCTCTCTCTCTTACCCACCATAGTGAACTCTCTCTCTCTCACCCATCATAGTGACCTCTCTCTCCTGGTCAACACTGAGGGGACAGTGGATAGAAGGCAGGACTCTTCTTCTAACCTGGTCCCAGTTCTGTTTGCATCTGTTTGGCCTGACAACGACTATAGGAGCAACACAAACAGATCTGGAACCAGGTAGCATGTAGCATGTAGCATGTAGAGTGTAGCTGATGATGAAATACTTTCTAACCCAGAGTAGTGTTACACCATACCTGGGTGCTCCCTCAGTCTAAAGCCACTCTAACAAGTCATAGGTGCAACAATCAGGACCCTATAAACCAACACTTAGTTAGACTACTTCAAGGCATTCTACAGGCTTTTTTTTAAATTATTTTAAAAAACTCTCACCTTCCAGATCTGATATCCTTCTTCAAAACTGTCCTCAGTTGAGTTGTGAGTGCTTCGTTAGGTCAGTCTGATATCTCTTAGAACCTGGACCAGGAACAAGAGTGTCAGCGTAGCGTAGCGTAGCGTAGCGTAGCGTAGCGTAGCGTAGCACAGGAAGGGAGCACAGGGTAGTGGATGGCTTGTTGGAGCGGAGGGGAAACCCACACACACCAGACAGACTACAACTTTATATTATCAACAGCCCCCCTCATGTGCTCCTAGCGGCACAGAGACACCCGCTCTCAGTTTGGCTGAGGAGGCCGCCTTGCCGTCTCCTCCTCCTCCTCACCCCCTCCTCCCCCTGTCTTGACCTTTTTGTAGGGCTTCTTGGCTTGCACTCTCTAAGGGAGGGAGGGAGGGAGAGAGGGAGAGAGGGAGAGAGGGAGAGAGAGAGGGAGGGAGGGAGGGAGGGAGGGAGGGAGGGAGGGAGGGAGGGAGAGAGAGAGAGGGAGGGAGAGAGGGAGGGAGGGGAGTAGACCCCTGCTGAAGTATGTTTAAAGACATCCCTCCCTCTCTCTTTCTGTAGCAACAATAAAGACAGAAAGCAGGTGTTTGTGAAAAGAGAGAAAGTCAGAGCCGGTAAGATTTGAGATGGGGTTAAAGTTCAACAGGAAGTCAACTTTAGCGGAGAAAGATGGAAATATTTATGGACATGACATCAAAAATATACAAGTGTTTATCTTCATGGCTGAGAGTCAGCACATTGGTCACGTAGTCATTTAGACTGGTATTTCTCTAGGCATGTGACCCTCATTGAAAAGGTGAGGGAGCGAGCGAGAGATACGTAGAGGTAGGTGGGCAGAGCAGGAGAGCAGGTTTTCTGTTGCACTATGGCCTATTTATTGCCTTACCTCCATAACTTGCTACATTTGCACACACTGTATATATATTTTCTGTTGTATTTTTTTGACTTTATGTTTTGTTTTACCCCATATGTAACTCTGTGTTGTTGTTTTTTATCGCACTGCTTTGCTTTATCTTGGCCAGGTCGCAGTTGTAAATGAGAACTTGTTCTCAACTGGCTTACCTGGTTACATAAAGGTGAAATAAAATAAATATAAATAAATGTTCAGTTCTCCCTCTCTCAATTCAATTCAAAGGGCTTTATTGGCATGGGAATCTTTATTTTCTCTCTCTTTCTCTGTGTTGACACGTCCTCATGGACTGTTGAGGTTTCCCTGTACAGAGATGAACAGTTTTAAAAAGGCTTCTAAAGTTTGTCATTTCAATTTTGAAATTTCAGACTTGATTTGCCCTAACGAAAAATGTATCAATCCCTACAAAAATGGCCATTAATTATAATCCACATAATAAACTGCCTCCAATTTAAGATCCTACATCTGTAACTGATTAAAACCCTGATTATGAGTACTTATATGTTGAATGGTGCCTCAGGATTGTCAACGGAAACACATTTAAGTCAAACTTGAGTTTCCAACAACCAGAGAACAGTCAGAGCTATGTGTTTAAGAGAGTTGGCTACAGTACATACCGTATTGGACATGCCAGGCTGCCCATCCACTGGTTCCTTCATCTCCACTCTCGCTTTTCTCTGAGAGACTATGACTCTGCTGCCCTCCTTTGGCCAGGGATATTCACTGCAGGCCAGGGTTAGGGTTAGGGTAACGGTCACTGTTCAAGCTCAGAGCGGTTGACTTTTTCCAGTTTGGGCCTGAGTTTCCTTGAAGTCCGGTCTGTCTACAGTGTTGTTACTCCAACAGGTCGGCATGAGTTTGTAGAGGAAGTCTGGACATTTATCTGGAGCCGGCATCCTGTAGCAAGCAATGATGTCGCTGTAGCCTGGATCACAGAGAAAAGCCATAAGATCAATGAATCAACCAATCAAATGTATTTATTAAGCCCTTTTTACATCACTAGTTGTCACAAAGTGCCTTAACGGTCGTGAGAGGAAACTTTCCTGATCCAAACGTTCATTTCTGCCCGACGTAGAATTCTATGCAATTCATTGTCGGGTCTTCAGGCTTTTCAAACCTCTCCTCGGAAACCACCAGCCGTTCCATGTATTTGAACTATTCTAGAACACCTGATTTAACTTGTCAACTAATCATCCAAGCCCTTGAATAGGTGAATCAGGTGAGCTAGTTGAGGGCTAGAACACGGAGAGGTTTGAGAACCACTGGGTGATCATGACATACCTGGATATGGGTCCCCACCATAGCATCTCGTAGAGCTGATCCCCAAAGGACCAGACATCTGACCTGTTGGAGAAACGACCGTGGCTCTGAACCCCAAAGGACAAGACATCTGACCTGTTGGAGAAACGACCGTGGCTCTGAACCCCAAAGGACAAGACATCTGACCTGTTGGAGAAACGACCGTGGCTCTGAACCCCAAAGGACAAGACATCTGACCTGTTGGAGAAACGACCGTGGCTGATGGCCTCTGGGGAACTCCACTTGCAGGGGACATTCTTCTCCTCAGACACGTAGAAGGGCTCCTGAGGAATGAGGATGTGAAAAGAGATCGAAGGTTCTATGAGCTAGGGACTATGCTAGTCACTCAATGGGATATCCTTCCGCCTGGCGTCAGGATGAGACGAGATATTCATATCAGAGTAATTCCATGCCACGGGGTGTGATGCACGTTCCCCAACCCCCTATAAATGCCTTGGTGCGTAGCATCACTTCCTCGAGACTCTTACAGAGGCTACAAGAGAACCGACGTCTGGACAAGGGTGCGATGTGCACGGTCCAGTAGGGGATCCGACGCCAAAACATCCGGTCCCATTGCATCCTTCAGTAGCTTGGTGAAGAAGTCGGTGGGGCGAGAGCCCGCCTCCACCCCTTCTGCCAGACCCACCACGCGAAGGTTATGACGCCTGGATCTGCCCTCCAGGTCGACCACTTTCACAGAAAGCCTCTGCACATTATCCTGCAATGACGTGCATAGCTTCTCTAACTCGTCGATCCTACCAGCGTTGAATTCAGAAGCTTTCTCAAGGTCCACAATACTCTGGCCCTGCGAAGCGACCGTTCGAATGGTGCTCTCGATTTTAGTGTCCAGTTCAGCAATAGTAGCCTTAAGATCCTCCGCTATAGCAACACGTAGTTCTCCCAAAGCCTGGGTAAGTTCTGTAAGTGTCACGTTGTTACCTGTGCCTTCCGCCATGTTTGTCTCGTTGTTTGGTGGGGAGTAGGCCTCTGATGTGGATTTATTGTCCTTTGGTCGCTTATTACTAGGCATTTTCACATAGAAAGTTACAATATTGTATTAGAAAGAAACGTTTGTTGTAACAAGTGCAATAAAGTAAGTTCGGTTAGATTTTTTCGCAAAAAAAGTTGCGGGAGCCTCTCACACACAGCCGTTCACTCCAACATGCTAGCTCCGCCCCCTCAGAAACACAGTCTTAAGAGAGAGATGTTTCCAGTCTATAGCGTCTAACGGTTCGAAGGGATGTCTGGATAGTACTCCAAGAACCAAATCCAAATCCCATTTTGGGAACTTAGGGGGCTCTTGAGGGTCATAATCGACGGACTCCCTTAAGAAACCTTGCCATGAGCGGATGGCTGCCAAGCGGACCATCCTGCTCTTCATCATGACATGCTGAAATGGCTGCTGCGTACACCTTAAGTGTGGATGCAGCCCTGCCAGCATCAAACAAAGACCTCAAGAACTGGAGCACAGTTTTTATGCCTCAAGATTCTGGAGCAACCCTCTGCTCCCCACACCACTGGCAGAACACGCACCAACTCGTGTCATAGGTTGACGTGGTGGACGGGGCCCTGGCACTCTGTAAGATGTTAACAACAGAGGGCTTAAGATCTAAACCAGAGCATTTTCGCTGTTCAGCGGCCAGGCCCACAGCTGTAAGCGGGAGAGATTCGGATGTGCCCTCTGCCTGTGACAATAGGTCTGGCCTCCGAGGTAGTTCAATGCTGTCCCCGCTAGGAGTGACAGTATTGTGCTGAACCAGTGCCGTCTTGGCCATCTCGGGGCAATCAGAAGAACCTGGTGGCCCGCTTCCCTGATTCGGGATCGGGGGGGGGAAGGCGTATAGCCTCTTCCTCTGCAACTCGTGGGCCAGGGCATCCTCGGCCACTCGTGGGCCAGGGGGGCACTGTGTGTTCATCTCTGAGGCAATCAGATCCACCTCCGCTTCCCCAAAGAATCCCCACATGCGACTCACTATTCAGGGATGTAGTCGCCACTCCCCTTCCGGAGTGTTCCCTAGACAGCATGTCCGCTGCAGTGTTCAGGATCCCTGGGAGGTGTACAGCACTTATTGAAGCCAGATTCTTCTGTGACCACAGCAGAAGGGTGTGTGCCATCTGGTGGAGGCGGATGGAACCCAGACCCCCTTGGTGGTTCATGTACTCTACCACTGTGGTGCTGTCTGTCTGTACCAGCACATGTTCATCCCGCAGTTGTGGGAGAAATTTGACCAGACTGCTCTCAACTCCAGCATGTTGATGTGGAGTTTGGACCAGCTGGGGCTCCATGTCCCGCCCTCTCCCTCAATATTGGTCCCCAGCCTGTCAAGGAGGCATCTGTTTGAACCAGTTCCCTCCAATGGACTCTGCCCAGGTGTATCCCTCCTGAAAGGAATTTCAGGGATCGCCATCTTGCCAGTGCTCGTGTGCATTCCTTGGACACAGTCAGGTGACAATACCTGTGTACCTTGGGATGTAAACCCTGAGCATTGAACCACCTCCACAGGGGTCTCAAGTGTAGAAGGCCCAATGGGGTCAAAAGAGAGGCTGCGGAGAGGAGACCCATCAGTCTCTGACACTGAAGAGCAGTCACCTTCTGATCTTGGACAAAAGTATTGAGGTGAACTACAATTTCTGGACTCGCTCTTCGGTGAGGTGAGCCCTCATTAGAGACGAGTTGATCTGCATGCCCACCAACATTACAGTTTTTTTTTTATGTTCAACCTGAGGCCTAGCTCTGAGATGTACTTCAGGAGAGATGTCGTGTCTGCTGCTGACTGTTCTCGGGACAGAGCGCAGATTAGCCAATCATCTAGGTAATTTAATACTATCATCCCTTGTGATGCTAAAACGGCATCCATGCATTTTGTGATGAATGTTCTTGGTGCCGAAAGGTAACACTTGTACAAAGCGCAGGAACTTCCTGTGAGCCGGGTGGATCGGTCCGTGGAAATAGGCATCTTTTAGGTCGACAGTGGTGTACCACTGGCCTGGGCTGAAAGCCTGTAGGATGTGGGACGGAGATACAGTGGGGAAAAAAGTATTTAGTCAGCCACCAATTGTGCAAGTTCTCCCACTTAAAAAGATGAGAGAGGCCTGTAATTTTCATCATAGGTACACGTCAACTATGACAGACAAAATGAGAAAAATAAATCCAGAAAATCACATTGTAGGATTTTTAATGAATTTATTTGCAAATTATGGTGGAAAATAAGTATTTGGTCAATAACAAAAGTTTCTCAATACTTTGTTATATACCCTTTGTTGGCAATGACACAGGTCAAACGTTTTCTGTAAGTCTTCACAAGGTTTTCACACACTGTTGCTGGTATTTTGGCCCATTCCTCCATGCAGATCTCCTCTAGAGCAGGGATGTTTTGGGGCTGTCGCTGGGCAACACAGACTTTCAACTCCCTCCAAAGATTTTTATGGGGTTGAGATCTGGAGACTGGCTAGGCCACTCCAGGACCTTGAAATGGTTCTTACGAAGCCACTCCTTCGTTGCCCGGGCGGTGTGTTTGGGATCATTGTCATGCTGAAAGACCCAGCCACGTTTCATCTTCAATGCCCTTGCTGATGGAAGGAGGTTTTCACTCAAAATCTCACGATACATGGCCCCATTCATTCTTTCCTATACACGGATCAGTCGTCCTGGTCCCTTTGCAGAAAAACAACCCCAAAGCATGATGTTTCCACCCCCATGCTTCACAGTAGGTATGGTGTTCTTTGGATGCAACTCAGCATTCTTTGTCCTCCAAACACGACGAGTTGAGTTTTTTACCAAAAAGTTATATTTTGGTTTCATCTGACCATATGACATTCTCCCAATCCTCTTCTGGATCATCCAAATGCACTCTAGCAAACTTCAGACGGGCCTGGACATGTACTGGCTTAAGCAGGGGGACACGTCTGGCACTGCAGGATTTGAGTCCCTGGCGGCATAGTGTGTTACTGATGGTAGGCTTTGTTACTTTGGTCCCAGCTCTCTGCAGGTCATTCACTAGGTCCCCCGTGTGGTTCTGGGATTTTTGCTCACCGTTCTTGTGATCATTTTGACCCCACGGGGTGAGATCTTGCGTGGAGCCCCAGATCGAGGGAGATTATCAGTGGTCTTGTATGTCTTCCATTTTTGATTTCTTCAAACCAAGCTGCTTACCTATTGCAGATTCAGTCTTCCCAGCCTGGTGCAGGTCTACAATTTTGTTTCTGGTGTCCTTTGACAGCTCTTTGGTCTTGGCCATAGTGGAGTTTGGAGTGTGACTGTTTGAGGTTGTGGACAGGTGTCTTTTATACTGATAAGTTCAAACAGGTGCCATTAATACAGGTAACGAGTGGAGGACAGAGGAGCCTCTTAAAGAAGAAGTTACAGGTCTGTGAGAGCCAGAAATCTTGCTTGTTTGTAGGTGACCAAATACTTATTTTCCACCATAATTTGCAAATACATTCATAAAAAATCCTACAATGTGATTTTCTGGAATTTGTTTTCTCAATTTGTCTGTCATAGTTGACGTGTACCTATGTTGAAAATTACAGGCCTCTCTCATCTTTTTAAGTGGGAGAACTTGCACAATTGGTGGCTGACTAAATACTTTTTTTCCCCACTGTAGCATCTTGAAGGGGAGGGTTTTCAAGCACCGGTTGAGAGGCCTGAAGTCCAGGATGGGGCGAAAGCCGCCATCCCGCTTGGGGACTAGGAAATATACTCCATTGAACCCACTGTGCTGTTCTGATGGTTCGAGTTGTCTGATTGCATTCTTCTCCAGCAGGGAGGCAATCTCCAGTTGGAAAGCTTCTCTTTTGAGGGGGTCGGCTGTTGTAGTTGACCACACCCCTCTGAATGGTGGTGGCCGACATCGGAACTGTAGTTTGTACCCCTGTAGTACTGTATCCAGCACCCAGGGGGACTCCACAAGCTCCTCCCACTTTTGCTCGATGGGCGTGGGAGAAGTGGCCGACGCCGAGGCCACACCCATCAGGATGACTGAGGGGACCCGTCCTTCTTCGGAGCAGAGGGACGGTGCTTGTTATGCCACTGCATGTGCTGGTGGTCTCTGCAGGGTCTCTCTGTCCTTCCTCAGCTTAGCCTTTTGGTCCAAAATGGCGTCCACACCAGGTTCCAAACTTCTTCCCTTTTAAGAATGATGGAGGCCACTGTGTTCTTAGGGACCTTCAATGCTGCAGAAATGTTTTGGTACCCTTCCCCAGATCTGTGCCTCAACACAATCCTGTCTCAGAGCTCTACGGACATTTCTTTCGACCTCACGGTTTGGTTTTTGCTCTGACATGCAATGTCAGCTGTGGGACCTTATATAGACAGGTGTGTGCCTTTCCAAATCATGTCCAATCAATTGAATTTACCACAGGTGGACTCCAATCAAGTTGTAGGAACATCTCAAGGATGATCAATGGAAACAGGATGCACCTGAGCTCAATTTCGAGTGTCATAGCAAAGGGTCTGAATACTTATATTTATTTATTTTAAATTACATTTACAAAGATTTCTAAAAAACAGTTTTTGCTTTGTCATTATGGGGTATTGTGTGTAGATTGATGAGTATTTTTTATTTATTTAATCAATTTTAGAATAAGGCTGTCACGTAACAAAATGTGGAAAAAGTCAAGGGGTCTGAATAATTTCCGAAGGCACTGTATTTACAAAAGTATATGGACTCCCCTTCAAATTAGTCGGCTATTTCAGCCACACCCCTTGCTGACGGGTGTATAAAATAGAGCACACATATATGCAATCTCCATAGACAAACATTGGCAATAGAATGGCCTTACTGAAGAGCTCAGTGACTTTCAACGTGGCACTGTCATAGGATGCCACCTTTCCAACAAGTCAGTTTGTCATATTTCTGCCCTGCTAGAGCTGCCCCGGTCAACTGTAAGTGCTGTTATTGTAAAGTGGAAACATCTAGGAGCAACAACGGCTCAGCCGCGAAGTGGTAGGCCACACAAGCTCACAGAACGGGGCTCACAGAACGGGACCGCTGAGTGCTGAAGCGTGTTGCGAGTAAAAATCGCCTGTCCTCGGTTGCAACACTCACTACCGAGTTCCAAACTGCCTCTGGAAGCAACGGCAGCACAAGAACTGTTCGTCGGGAGCTTTATGAAATGGGTTTCCATAGCAGAGCAGCCGCACACAAACCTAAGATCACCACGTGCAATGCCAAGCGTCAGCTGGAGTCGTGTAAAGCTCGCTGCCATTGGACTCTGGAGCAGTGGAAACGTGCTCTCTGGAGTGATTAATCATGCTTCACCATCTGGCAGTCCGACGGACGAGTACGGGTTTGGCGGATGCCAGAAGAACGGCATCTGCCCCAATGCATAGTGCCAACTGTAAAGTTTGGTGGAGGAGGATAATGATCTGGGGCTGTTTTTCATGGTTCGGGTTAGGCCCCTTAGTTCCAGGAAGGGAAATCTTAACGCTACAGCATACGATGACATTCTAGACGATTCTGTGCTTCCAACTTTGTGGCAACAGTTTGGGGAAGGCCCTTTTCTGTTTCAGCATGATAATGCCCTCGTGCACAAAGCGAGGTCCATCCAAAAATGGTTTGTTGATATCTGTGTGGAAGAACTTGACTGGCCTGCACAGAGCCCTGACCTCAACCCCATCGAACTCCTTTGGGATGAATTGGAACGCCGACTGCGAGCCAGGCCTAATCGCCCAACATCAGTGCCCAACCTCACTAATGCTCTTGTGAGCTCCCGAAGGTGGCGCAGTGGTCTAAGGCTGTGCCACTAGAGATCCTGGTTCGAGTCCAGGCTCTGTCGCAGCCGGCCGCGACTGGGAGACCCATGGGCGGCGCACAATTGGTCCAGCGTCGTCCAAGGTAGGGGAGGGTTTGGCCAGCAGGGATGTGGGTTCGTTTCCCACGGGGGGCCAGTATGAAAAAATAAAAAAATAAACATGTATGCGTTCACTAACTGTAAGTTGCTCTGGATAAGAGTGTCTGCTAAATGACTAAAATGTAAATGTAAGTCCCGCAGCAATGTTCCAACATCTAGTGGAAAGCCTTCCCAGAAGAGTGGAGGCTGTTATAGCAGCAAAGGGGGGGACCAACTCCATATTATTGCCCATGATTTTGGAATGAGATGTTCGATGAGCAGGTGTCCACATACTTTTGGTCATGTAGTGTATGTGTTATGTCACACACCACTGCTCTAAGCCTAGAATCACATAAGACAGGAAATGCAAAACATTTCACGCACGCACACACACACACACACACACACACACACACACACACACACACACACACAGAAAGGAAAGGAAAATCATCAATCAAATGAGTTTCAGTTGATGTGGTCCTCTGTAGCTCAATTGGTAGAGCACGGCGCTTGTAACGCCAGTGGGTTCGTTCCCCCGGGACCACCCATACGTAAAAATGTATGCACACATGACTGTAAGTCGCTTTGGATAAAATCGTCTGCTAAATGGCATATTATTATATGTGAACAGAAGTAAAAAAAAATAAAAAATAACATGTTGTACTTTGAGATATAACGGTCAAACAAACTTGGCCATCTTTTCCTCTAGGCAGCAAAGACGATGATTGGTATTTGTGGGTAAATGCATAACCTACCTACCTTTCAATTACCTGTCAACCCTCAGATATCGATTTACTACAACAACTGATCTCACGGTACACAGCAAACAGAGAGGAGGAGCTGACATGTTCCCTTCCTGTATATGATCTAAAGCTCAGAATCCGTATTGAACTCCTTTTTATAGTACAGTCAGATGATCATGATGACGATCACAATCAACACAACACAACCACGCTTGGGGCAAATCTGGAATCGCACCCTATCCCCTACATAGTGCTTTACGTTTAGCCAGAGTCCTAAAGTAGTAAGGGGTTTCAGATACCAACCCCGAGTCATAATCGTAGCCTTGCGAATCTGAGTGTTCTGTACCGTTCTTGAGAATCTTTGATTGCCACGTTGACGCTGTTCTTCCACTTGCCCCGGTGGACGTCAGCAAAGATCTGCCACGTTGACGCTGTTCTTCCACTTGCCCCGGTGGACGTCAGCAGAGATCCCGCTGCCCAGCTGCTCTCCCAGGGTGATCTTCTCCTTGGGGATCTCCCACTCATCCACTGTGGAGTGGGACAGGTCCTGGGGCACTGGCTCTTTCTGTGTTATAACCTTGGAGTTTTTAATGATCTGATACAATGTGGTTCTGCTGGACACTTAAAGACATTTGTCTTAGATATGTCACGACTAAGTTGAAATGCCTCTTATTTATTATGATGTTTTGCACTGGACTCTAACCACACACACACACACACACACTCACACACTCACACACTCACACACTCACACTCACACACACAACACACACACACACACACAGTGACAGTACACACAACACACACACACACAGAGATTCATACTCTAAAGTTAATGAAGCATGGCAATAGAAGGCGTAGTGGAGTCAGGTAGATACTCACAGCTTTGCGTTGACAGAGTCTCCCCTTGCCAGGTAGTTATTTGGCACAATCCCCCTTGCCAAAACGCGACCATTCTTGCCTATTCTACGCGCAGTCCACCAGTCTCCGGATCGACTGATCACAATGAACAGATCTCACTTCCTTGTGAATGGGCACCCCGACTTCATTACCACAATGCGTCTTGGATAGACTATGTCTTTCTTTCCCCTTCTCTCTCTCTCTCTCTCTCTCTCTCTCTCTCTCTCTCTCTCTCTCTCTCTCTCTCACTCTCTTCCGCTCTTCCTCTCTCTCTCTCGTTCTCTCTCTTGCTCTCTCTCTCTCACTCTCTCTCTCTTTCACTCTTCCTCTCTCATTCTCTCTCTCTCTCTCGCTCTCTCTCTCTTTCGCTCTTCCTCTCTCTTTCTCTCTCTCTCTCTCGCTCTCTCTCTTTCTCTCTCTTACACACACACACAAACACACGTAGTCTGGGTGACATACAACAAATATTTGTTTTATATTGTATCATACTTGTGTCTGTACAGTAAGTATTATGTAATGTCTTTATTATAGCTACTTATTTATATTACGTTATTATGTTTGTGGTTACAGTTGTCAGGAAGTGCATGGTCAGGCTAATTAGAACTTATCCTCCCTGTGTTTTCCAGTCAGTGCTCATATCAAAATCACAAAACATTTGTCATTAGGATAAGTTTGATCGTGTAGCCTAGGTACCATGTGGATCAGATGGTAGAGCATGGCGCTTGCAACGCCAGGGTTGTGGGTTTGATTCCCATGGGGGACCAGTAGGAAGAAATAAAAGTATGAAAATGTAGGTACTCACTACTGTAAGTCGCTCTGGATAAGAGCGTCTTCTACAGTGAGGGGAAAAAAGTATTTGATCCCCTGCTGATTTTGTACGTTTGCCCACTGACAAAAACATGATCAGTCTATAAGTTTAATGGTAGGTTTATTTGAACAGTGAGAGACAGTATAACATCAAAAAAATCCTGAAAAAACGCATGTAAAAAATGTTATAAATTGATTTGCATTTTAATGAGGGAAATAAGTATTTGACCCCCTCTCAATCAGAAAGATTTCTGGCTCCCAGGTGTCTTTTATACAGGTAACGAGCTGAAATTAGGAGCACACTCTTAAAGGGAGTGCTCCTAATCTCAGTTTGTTACCTGTATAAAAGACACCTGTCCACAGACGCAATCAATCAAATCAGATTCCAAACTCTCCACCATGGCCAAGACCAAAGAGCTCTCCAAGGATGTCAGGGACAAGATTGTAGACCTACACAAGGCATGGAATGGGCTCCAAGACCATCGCCAAGCAGCTTGGTGAGAAGGTGACAACAGTTGGTGCGATTATTCGCAAATGGAAGAAACACAAAATAACTGTCAATCTCCCTCGGCCTGGGGCTCCATGCAAGATCTCACCTCGTGGAGTTGCAATGATCATGAGAACGGTGAGGAATCAGCCCAGAACTACACGGGAGGATCTTGTCAATGATCTCAAGGCCGCTGGGACCATAGTCACCAAGAAAACAATTGGTAACACACTACGCCGTGAAGGACTGAAATCCTGCAGCGCCCGCAAGGTCCCCCTGCTCAAGAAAGCACATATACAGGCCCGTCTGAAGTTTGCCAATGAACATCTTTATGATTCAGAGGAGAACTGGGTGAAAGTGTTGTGGTCAGATGAGACCAAAACTGAGCTCTTTGCCATCAACTCAACTCGCCGTGTTTGGAGGAGGAGGAATGCTGCCTATGACCCCAAGAACACCATCCCCACGGTCAAACATGGAGGTGGAAACATTATGCTTTGGTGGTGTTTTTCTGCTTAGGGGACAGGACAACTTCACCGCATCAAAGGGACGATGGACGGGCCATGTACCGTCAAATCTTGGGTGAGAACCTCCTTCCCTCAGCCAGGGCATTGAAAATGGGTGGTGGATATGTATTCCAGCATGACAATGACCCAAAACACACGGCCAAGCCAACAAAGGTGTGGCTCAAGAAGAAGCACATTAAGGTCCTGTAGTGGCCTAGCCAGTCTCCAGACATTAATCCCATAGAAAATCTGTGGAGGGAGCTGAAGGTTCGAGTTGCCAAACGTCAGCCTCGAAACCTTAATGACTTGGAGAAGATCTGCAAAGAGGAGTGGGACAAAATCCCTCCTGAGATGTGTGTAAACCTTGTGGCCAACTACAAGTAACATCTAAACTCTGTGATTGCCAACAAGGGTTTTGCCACCAAGTACTAAGTCATGTTTTGCAGAGGGGTCAAATACTTATTTCCCTCATTAAAATGCAAATCAATTCATAAAATTTTTGACATGCATTTTTTCTGTATTTCTTTTTGTTATTCTGTCTCTCACTGTTCAAATAAACCTACCATTGAAATTATAGACTGATCATGTCTTTTTCAGTGGGCAAACGTAAAAAATCAGCAGGGGATCAAATACTTTTTTCCCTCACTGTAAATGACTAAAATGTAAGTCATTTTCCTATAATCAGTGCTCATCATAAGACGTCTTATCAACGTTTTCACAAAGTTAACTGTCCCACATTGGACAAAATCCACACTAGGCTACAGAAAGAGGAGGTGTTCTAGGTCAGTAAGGTGTGGGCAGCTGACATTAAGGTCTGAAAAGCCCTTGCACACCGGGCAACATTTTTTGTAGCTATTTTCACCTACACACAATTAAGGGACCAGAAGGACCAGACTACTGGAATTCTTTGCATTTTGGTTATCAGTAAAAATATATATATCACCTGCCCGATGGGGTAACCACAGAGCAGGCACAACTTGCGCAATGCTCAGGCCACTTACACCGGGCAATAGGGCAACCCTTAATGTAAATCCCTTTGTGGGCATCCAGCACAGTTACAGTAATACTATCACTTATAGTAGTAATACTATACCACCAGACCTGGTTCAAATACTAGAAAAATATTTGTTCAAATACTAGAAAAATATTTGTTCAAATACTAGAAAAATATTTGTTCAAATACTAGAAAAATATTTGTTCAAATACTAGAAAAATATTTGCTTGAGTCTGCCTGGGGCGCCAGATAGGCGGGTTTTTACAGTTTTGGGACTTTTCTATTGGTTTATTAAAGCCAGGCAAACTCAACCGGGCACATATTTAAATTAAGTATTTGAAACCCAGGTCTGAATACCACCAAAGATAGGCTACAATATATGTTCTATTCAATTCTGTAAATACCATTGATTTACTCGACAGACCGACCGACCGACAGACCGACCGACCGACCGACCGACCGACCGACCGACCGACCGACCGGACCGCCCGACCGACCGACCTACCGTCCCTACCTGACCTACCTACCCTCCTCCCACCTGACCTACCCTACCCCGACCTGCACCTACAGACAGATCAGACAGACATACAGACAAGACAGACAACGACATACCTACCTACAGCCGCAGACAGCAGACAGACAACAGACAGAATACAGAGAGAGAAGAGAGAGCGATAGAGAGAGAGAGAGAGAGAGAGAGAGAGAGAGAGAGAGAGAGCGAGAGAGAGAGAAAGAGATAGAGAGAGAGAGAGAGAGAGAGAGAGTAGAGCGAGAGAGAGATAGAGAGAGGAAGATGAGGAGAGAGAGAGCGGAAGAGAGAGGCGCCTGCTGTGTGTGTGTGGTCCTATAGTCCCGTGTAGCCTCAGTTGGTAGAGCATGGCGCTTGCAACGCCAGGGTTGTGGGTTCGATTCCCACGGGGGGCCAGTATGAAATGTATGAACTCACTAACTGTAAGTCGCTCTGGATAAGAGCGTCTGCTAAAAATTACTAAAATGTAAAAACATACAGTCTATGGTTGGGTCCCACAGTCTATGTGTAACCGGTCTGAAATGGCTAGCTAGTTAGCGGTGCGCGCTAGTAGCATTTCAATCGGTGACGTCACTTGCTCTGAGACCTTGAAGTAGTTGTTTCCCTTGCTCTGCAAGAGCCGCGGCTTTTGTGGAGGGACAGGTAACGGTGCTTTCGAGGGTGACTGTTGTCGATGTGTGCAGAGGGTCCCTGGTTCAAGCCCAGGTTGGGGGCGAGGAGAGGGACGGAAGCAACACTGTTACATATGGTTGGGTCCCACAGTCTATGGTTGGGTCCCTCAGTCTATGGTTGGATCCCACAGTCTATGGTTGGGTCCCTCAGTCTATGGTTGGATCCTACAGTCTATGGTTGGATCCCACAGTCTATGGTTGGGTCCCACAGTCTATGGTTGGATCCCACAGTCTATGGTTGGATCCTACAGTCTATGGTTGGATCCTACAGTCTATGGTTGGGTCCTATAGTCTATGGTTGGGTCCCACAGTCTATGGTTGGATCCTACAGGCTCACAGATGGCAGCCAGGGCTTGTGGAAGTGAGAGCTTGATTGGAGATTCACAAGTCATGTGTGTGTGTGTGTGCGTGTGTGTGTTAGTTGGTTTCAGCCCCAATAGTCCTCTCACATCACAATCCAGCTCGGTAGATGGCGGTAATGCACCATATGTGTTAGTTTACACATCGTCAAACAAAACAAAGAAGAAAATCGACACGGAAGTGATTATTACATGGGTTATTAGAGACGGAAGAGGAAGCGAGACACCCCACTCCCTATTCTTTTCTGGTTACATTACAGTCAATGAAATAAGCAGACCAGACCCAGCTGCTATTGCATTGGTGTCTATGGGAGAACCACCCCGTTAAGCAGATCGGAACTGACTATTTTTTCAACGGTAAACGGACTGAGTGAACCATCTTCATTTATCCACTATCTTCGGTTGTTATATTTCCGAGAAGCTATCTGCTAAAATGGCTAAGCTAACGTCTTTATTTGTGATCTTATTGTCTTTATTTTGCATTAGTGAAGCTGTCTTCGAAGATCAAGTTGGAAAGTTTGATTGGTATGTAGCTAGCTATCTAACGTTGAGAAAGTCCATTGATTCTGCTATGCAGCTAACGTAAGCTAATGCTATGTGCTAACCATTGACAGCGTCCGATATGGTTGATCATAGGCGAAAAGCCAGTAGTCCTCCGGGGTCGGGTTCGTTCAATAGGTAGCCCTGTCATGTCTGCACCCGTGTCGACAGTCTCTTGTTGGAAGATATAGCTAATCACTAACGAATGTAAATGCGTTTTCGGATTGCTTCCTCTTCTTTACTGGGGTTAAGGATCCATGGGGGAAAGAGACCCATTTCCCCCAGATTTGTCCCATGTGCTCCTTCAGGTGACCAGTGTATTTGCAGATATGATACTGTCCAAATGCCACAGTAACGAAGAGGATGATGTACATTGGTGATTGATTAACTAAAGTCAAAATAGCTAGCTATATTTCAACAGCAGACTGTCTGACTAAAAATATTATATATTTTTTCTATTTCCAGGAGACAGCAGTATGTGGGTAAGACACTCTTTGCCCACTTTGAGTCGAATACACAGTCATCTAAAAAGCTATTTCTCGCTACCGACAAGAATATCTTTGCCTCTTTCAACTCCAGGACTGGAGATCTCTGTGAGTATTTGTAATTTTCTCTTTTACTCTGAAGTCTGTGACAAAATGTATAAAAAATGGAGTTGAATATCATATTTATCATCCATAGAGTTCATTATTTTTCATTCCTACTTTACAGTTTGGAGACATGTGGACAAGACTGGACCAGAGGGAGCCATAGACACACTTCTGCTGCATGGACAAGGTGACTATAGCCTTTTAAACGTTTTGTTGTAGACTTGCCTAGTTTCTTGGCCTAGCTAACATAACCGTGTTGTACAGAGTCAATTATATTGGCTTTTCCCCATCTTTGACAGTGGATATTTGAATGACTGTTTTTACGTCTTCTCTAGATGCTCTGATGGTGGTTGGAGATGGTCGTCTGCTCCGTTCCTGGGACACAAACATTGGCGGGCTGAACTGGGAGGCCGTGCTGGATACTGGCAGGTGTGTGCGCGCGCATGTGGTGTGTGTGTGTGTGTGTCTCTCTCTCTGTGTGTTCGTGTGCAGATGACCTGTTCCCCATTAACTGCAGTTTATAGCTGAGAGACACTTTAATAGAAATGGACATCTTTGATTTTTTTAGAGATTTCGACAGATGACTAACTGCTCATAATGTCCACCTCTATCTCAGCTTCCAGGCTGCGTGTTTTGTGGCAGTACAGGACACCGTAAAGCATGTGGTGGTGCTGAAGAAAGCCGCCATCTCTCTCCACTACCTCTCCAATGGACACCAGAAATGGGTGGAGAACCTGCCTGACAGGTAGCTACGGTAGGACCACTGGTGCTGTCTGGGACCAGACATGGGTTCAAATGGTATTTTGTTTTATTTCAAATGCTTTAGCTGCACTTGATGTCGCTTACCTGACGCAATGGAGCCAATCAAATGGAGCCAAAAGTGCAAGCCCTGCCCATCTGGCAATCCGTAAAGGCTCAATCTAATGCTCAAAGTCTCTAAAATATTTCAAATAGTATTTGAACCCAGTCTACAGCACGTAGGTAATATGCATTTCATTTCAGGACTTTGCATGTGGTAAACGGATCTAGTAAGTATTTTCTATCCCCCACAGTGATGCAGTCCAGTACCAGGCAGTGTACTCTGGGGGAGAAGAGGATGTCTATGTGTTGGGGGTGGTTCCTAACTCTCACCTCACTATCATAGCCTACAGCCTAGAGGATGGAGAGATCATCAAGCAGGTAACTGGACTAGAACTGTCATCAAACCTTAATTGGCAACCATTAAAATTCATAAAAGGTGTCATGAAAGGGCCCGTTTTCCAGAGGCAGATTAAGCCTAGGCCTGGATTTAAAAAAAACATCTTTGCTTTTTCAGTCTAGGAGGAAACTGAATCTGTGTCTGGGAAACCAGCCCAAAGGGTTACTCCTCCATCAGTATCTACACTGTGTCTGTTGTTTGTCTGTAGCCTGTACACATGTCCTGTCTCTAACCCACTGATTCCTGTCTGTTGTCGTCCTCAGAGGTCAGTTGAAGCCCCGTGGCTGTCCAGTGTTGAGTCCAGCTGCATGGTGGTTGGTCGGGGGGTGCTGATGTGTGTGGACCCCGCCTCTCTCTCCCTCTACACCCTCCCTATACAGGCCGAGGAGACGTCACAGTTCAGCCAGATCCTGCTACGGGTACTGTACCGACACAACCTTTTCGTTCAGTGAGCCAGTGCTTGATGGTACCAGAGAGGTTTGGAAACTGAGAGTCATAACATGCGATTGCAGGGGTTAAAGTTCTCTGTCACTGCGACTGATTTCCGTCATATGTATGCACCCCAGGCCATGTTTTTTTAACCTAAAATAATAATTTACTCAAACATCATGCATATGACGGAAATCTGTATATGTGTATATATATGATAATGGACCTGTATATTTTCAAATAACTGCCCCTTTTCTGGCCTGCAAAACGATTCTGACAAACAAATCGGTCATAATAAAATCTGAGCGGCCCTCCGTAAAATGTAGAAATCCCAATGTGTCCCTTGAGCCAAAAAGTTTGCCCGCCGATCTTAAGTTTCAGTCATGGGATTTGTTTTTGCTTTAACCTCTGCGATTTAAAGGAGAACTCCACTCAAAAATGATATTTTGCTTCTTTTTTTTCATTAGTCCACTGTTAAAATATTCCCAAAATGTTTTGCATGTCAGCAGTCAAGTTTTCAAGATGTTGGACTTTTCAAGAAGCAAAGTGTCACTTGTCACATCATCATGATGAAAAACACATCATGATGATGCAAAACACATCATGATGATGTGGCAAGTGACACTTTGTTTCTTGAAAACTTGACTGCTGACATGCAAAACATTTAGGGAATGTATCAACAGCTCAGCTGGTAGAGCACGGCGCTTGTAACGCTAAGGTAGTGGGTTCGATCCCCGGGACCACCCCATACACAAAAAAAAAAAATGTATGCACGCATGACTGTAAGTCGCTTTGGATAAAAGCGTCTGCTAAATGGCATATTATTATTATTATTATTATTATATCGTCAGATGGCATCACACATACGCGACACTCAACTCTCAACTGATTTGTCTCATTTTAAAAATGGAGGGTTTGCTGATCTGCCTAACTCTAGTTCCTAATTCTGAAAATCACTCCGCTCTCAGTAGCTATGACGCACTGGCTACTACGGCAAACCATGCTCGATCAGCTGAGCAAACTTGCTTCCAGCTAGCAGCCTAGTGCAAGCTTGTTTGAAGGGCCATACGCTAGCTAGTTTGCCAGCTCGTTGATGAAGTTGTACGGCACCAAGTTTATGGGACTGTTCTAAAGAAATCAGCATGTATCCGACTGACAGCTGGCACTGCGTCTCGCTACTTTGGAACAGTTGGCCAACGTGATGACATCAGAGAGCAGTCAGCTGTGCTGTAGAACTCGGCGCACTAGTCACAGCAGAAACGATACCATGAAAACTCATTTGTAAAATTAGCTAGAACTTCACTACACTAGCTAGCTAGGTTGTGTATTCAGCATTGAGTGTGAACTGGCGTTGTTAGCATCCCTGCCTTTTTGTTTCATATGGGTTGATTTGAGACTGGGTCAGCCAGCAAGCAGACCCTAGCTAGCTAACGTTATCGTGTTAGCTAATTTTCATGCACATTTCAATTTTTATAAATACTGATTCATCTCCCGTCTGGATTACTGCAACTCGCTGTTGGCTGGGCTCCCTGCCTGTGCCATTAAACCCTTACAACTCATCCAGAACGCTGCAGCCCGTCTGGTGTTCAACCATCCCAAGTTCTCTCACGTCACCCCGCTCCTCCGCACACTCCACTGGCTTCCAGTTGAAGCTCGCATCCGCTACAAGACCATGGTGCTTGCCTACGGAGCTGTGAGGGGAACGGCACCTCTGTACCTTCAGGCTCTGATCAGTCCCTACACCCAAACGAGGGCATTGCGTTCTTCCACCTCTGGCCTGCTGGTCTCCCTACCTCTGCGGAAGCACAGTTCCCGCTCAGCCCAGTCAAAACTGTTCGCTGCTATGGCACCGCCAGGACAGTCACTGACCACCTTCCGGAGACACTTGAAACCCTACCTCTTTAAGGAATACCTGGAATAGTATAGCAGTAATCCTTCTACCCCACCCCCACAAAAAATTAAATAATGTCTTTAAAATTACCACAAAAAAAATATATATATAAAACAAATGAAAAAAAAATATATATATTTTTTTATATATATATATAAAAATAAAATGAAAATTAATAAAAAAAAAAAAAAAATATATATATATATATATATATATATATATATATATATATATATATCTATATATATATATATATATATATATATATATATAAAACAAATGAAAATTAAAAAATATATTTAACAAAATGGTAAAGTGGTTGTCCCACTGGCTATCATAAGGTGAATGCACCAATGTGTAAGTGGCTCTGGATAAGAGCGTCTGCTAAATGACTTCCATGTAATTCTACCACCATAAACCACCTTAGCTAGACGTAGAATCAGGTGGTGAAGACTTGCTCATAAATAAATCTACAGGCTTATAGTGTCTGGTCAGATTAACTCTGACTCTTTTGAGGATGAAAGGGGGTTCAGTGGACGATGTCACCTTGGTAACATTTCCGAATGTTAGAACAGCAGCAGCCAAACTTATCTTTAGCTATCCCATAACTGCAGGCGGGAGACAATGCAGTGGACTAATGGAGAAAAAAAAAATACCATTTTGTTTTTCAGTGGATTTTTCCTTTAAATCCTGTGAATACCTTGTGGATTAATTTGTCACTCTCCCGTTGATGCTATTGCTTATTGAGTGGAAATGATCTGCATTGATCTGCAAAATGAATGACCAATATCTTTTACAATTACTGTTTGTAATTACTGTTGATCAATTTTCCAACTCCCTCCCCACAGTCTCTGGATCTGGAGGTGTCCCCAGGCTTCCAGCCCGTCCTGGTGTCCAGCCAGCCCCACCCGGCCCGCTCCCCACTCTCAGAGTTCTTTCTCCAGCTAGGACCAGATCACCACATCCTGCTGCAGCTCCATGATGATGGATCCACCATCGCTCCACTCAGAGACTTCCAGCCGGTACAGATTAATTCATTCATTCATTCATTAATTTGTTTATTCAATATAGTTCAATTCAATACACTTAATTCATCACAGACAGACAATTTATTAATGTCACTGATTCCTTGTTTTTGATCCAGTTATACCATACAGTATACCATATCTGTGGAGTTTGATTACCGATTATATTTTAATTTTCCTGTACTACAAGTCTCTCTGGATAGTGCATCTGCTGTGAACAAGATTTTACCTCAAACGTTGTCGGTTGGAAGGTCAGTGAAACTGAATGAGTTCTAACGGGAGATAATACACGTTTCCATGTTTTTACAGGCGTTCTTGGTCTCATTTGCCACCACAGGGGAGAAGACCGTTGCTGCCGTCATGACTCCCAAAAACGAAACTGTGAGTCGTCATCAGGTCATCGGTCTCAGATTTTAAGTGTTGCGTCGTGCATGTGGTCCATGAAGTGTAGTTAGTTATACTGAAGTAAGTAACCCATTGGTAAGCTTCCTCTCTGTTCCTACTCCAGGCTTGTGCTATCAATCTGTTCAGCGCTGACTCTGGTCGCAGGTTGCTGGATACAACTTTAATCTTTCCCCTGGATCTTAACGGTGGGAAACCACACAAGGTCAGTGTAGCTGCAGGCGTGTGTGTCTGTATGTTTGATGAGTATGATCATGGTAATAGAGTAGTAATTATGGGTCTGGCATGAGCCCCACCGATCCAACCCCTCGCTTACCGCTTACAGAAAAGTATGTAGGAAACACTGATGGAATCTACCTATGTAGGTTTATTTTTTATTTTTATGTTGGGCAATCAATCACATATATTTCTAAAGGCCATTTTACATGACCAGTCGTCATAAAGTGGTTTACAGTAGCCTCGGTCTGTAGTGTGTGATGTATTTCCTCCCCAGCTGTACGTCCACGCCTTCCTGAAGAAGGATGATTCTGTGGGCTACAGGGTCCTAGTGCAGACACTGGACCACGCTCTCACCTTCATACAGCAGCCAGGTAGACACGCACGCACGCACGCACGCACGCACGCATGCACGCACGCACGCATGCACGCACGCACACACACACACACACATACACACACACACACACACACACACACACACACACAGACACACACACACACACACACACACACAGACACAGACACAGACACAGACACAGACACAGACAAACACACAGACACAGTTTGTTTTACTATCCTTGTTGGGACCAAACAATTGATTCCCATTCAAAATCCTATTTTCCCTAACATTAACCCTGAACCTAACTCCTAACCCTGATTGTAAACCTAACCCCTAAGCCTAAAATAGCCTTTTTCCCTTATGAGGACCGGCGAAATGTCCCAACTTTTCCTTGTTTTTTTTGTGTCGCCTATGTCCAAGTGGTGTAAAAGTTTTAAAACATTTGGATGGAAAAACGCTTTCAGTGTAAACTTAAACGACTAAAATCAGATATAAAATATGTAGAAAAGATAATGGACCTATATATTTTTTTAATAATATCATCTTTGAGAGTTAGACAGTCGGGGATAATTGAAAATTCCAAAAACAATGCATTTATTTGTATTCATTTTGTTATCATGTTTGTGCAAAAGAACACAGCATTATCCACGGCAGAATGCATAGGATCTTAGTAAACTAACTTTAAAACTACAACATTTTCTCTCAGCTGCATGGAAAAATATGTAGAATTGCAGGAAATTAGCTTTAAAACGGCAAAATAAAATCTCAGCTCCATTGAGAAATTTGTAGAATTGCAGGAAATGGGCTTAAAAATGAAAATAATTCTAAACAGCGCCAAGATGGGGGGCCTGTAAAATATTCTCTACGGTGTAGCCGCGACGACGGCCGGCCAACCGCTCTTATTGCCACGCCCCCCTTTTTGATCCAGAAAAAAACCTGATCACACACACTGGAACACACACACACTGGAACACACACACTGGAACACACACACACACACACACACACACACACACACACACACACACACACACACACACACACACACACACACACACACACACACTGGAACACACACACACACACACTGGAACACACACACACACACACTGGAACACACACACACACACACACTGGAACACACACACACACTGGAACACACACACACACACACACACACACACTGGAACACACACACACACACACACACTGGAACACACACACACACACACTGGAACACGCACACACACACTGGAACACACACACACACACACTGGAACACACACACACACACACACACTGGAACACACACACACACACTGTTTTAAATGTGTGTAAATTGTAAAGTATTTTCGTATGTAATGTATTTTTCGTTATGTGTCAGACCCCAGGAAGACTAGCTTTCGCCATTGGCTAAAGGGGATCCTAATAAAAATCATATCACACACACACACACACACACACACACACACACACACTAGACGAGGCTTCTAACCATCACCTGTGATCCCAGGGCGTGTGGTGTGGACCAGAGAGGAGGCCCTAGCTGACGTTGTTACCATGGAGATGGTGGACCTGCCACTCACTGGGACCCAGGCGGAGCTGGAGGGGGAGTTTGGCAAGAAAGCTGGTAAAGAACATCAAAGATCAGAGCCTGGCTAACGTTATTCATGTTATGATTTTAAAAACACACATAGCAAAGAAAACGTGCATAAATAAAATGATTGAGGATGATACAAAAAAAGTATTTCTCTAAAACAATGTGATCGACGCCTCTGCCAAGTCATTCCCTTCAAATATATGTATTTTTTGTAAATTAAAAAAAAAATGTGATGTATTTTACTTTTAATATTTTTTTGGCTTTGTATAAGTATTTTTGATGGCCTATGTGTGTTACCCCCTGACCGTATAATGTTATTTGACCCTGTCTAAGTTAAGTCCTCTATGTATTTGCTATCTGCAATTGGCTTAAGTCTCGCTCTATCTCTTTGGTTTTCTAATTGCTGCGCTTGGATCCAGCCATTCAAGGTAACGCTATGAGCCTTCCCTCCTTTCCGTTCGCTTGTGTTGTTCTGTGTTGAAGAGGTCTATTTTGAAAGATCGGTAGCGAAGTGCTCTCTCAAAGTTTCTGCTTTGTTTGTTGTATTCTTGTAATCTGTCATTAGTTTGTAGATCCTTGTAGATCATCAGTGTTTACCTCATGGGTATTTAGTGTCCCCGTTGAAAGAATCCATTGACGTCCAAATAAACTTGCGGGAAACGTATTGCGGTCCAGCCCTCTATCATGACCACATCACTCTCGAACAATAATGGTTTTTTGAATCTAAGGAAATAAGATGTGACTGAAACTGTAGATAATAATGTGTGTCTGTCTGTCCGTGTCTCTCCCTCCCCAGACGGGTTGTTCCCCATGGTGCTGAAGCGTCTGTCATCCCAGGTGATTCTGCTCCAGGTGTGGCTGGCCCACCTGTGGAAGATGTTCTACGAAGCCCGTAAACCCCGCAGCCAGGTCAAGAATGAGGTCACCATAGAAACGCTGTCCAGGGATGAGTTCAACCTGCAGAAGATGATGGTCATGGTCACCGCCTCGGGGAAGGTGAGAGGAGAGGAGAGGAAGGGAGGGGTGGGGAGAGGAGGGGAGGGGAGGGGAGGAGAGGAGAGGAGAGGAGGGGTGGTATGTGTGTTTTATAGATGGCAGAAGGTGATCATCATGGTCACCGCCTCGGGGAAGGTGAGAAACTACCTGCTTAAAAACATGCAAAGGTTAGAAAAAGAATAAATGAAAAGTGAACTGCTGCTAGAGATCTACTCTCTGATGACCTCAGCACCAACATTGGTAGAGATCTACTATCTGATGACCTCAGCACCAACATTGGTAGAGATCTACTCTCTGATGACCTCAGCACCAACATTGGTAGAGGGAGGTTCTACTGTCTGTTGACCTCAGCACCAACATTGGTAGAGGGAGGTTCTGCTGTCTGTTGACCTCAGCACCAACATTGGTAGAGGGAGGTTCTGCTGTCTGTTGACCTCAGCACCAACATTGGTAGAGGGAGGTTCTACTGTCTGTTGACCTCAGCACCAACATTGGTAGAGATCTGCTGTCTGTTGACCTCAGCACCAACATTGGTAGAGGGAGGTTCTGCTGTCTGTTGACCTCAGCACCAACATTGGTAGAGGGAGGTTCTACTGTCTGACCTCAGCACCAACATTGGTAGAGGGAGGTTCTACTGTCTGACCTCAGCACCAACATTGGTAGAGAGAGGTTCTACTGTCTGTTGACCTCAGCACCAACATTGGTAGAGGGAGGTTCTACTGTCTGACCTCAGCACCAACATTGGTAGAGATCTGCTGTCTGTTGACCTCAGCACCAACATTGGTAGAGGGAGGTTCTGCTGTCTGTTGACCTCAGCACCAACATTGGTAGAGGGAGGTTCTACTGTCTGTTGACCTCAGCACCAACATTGGTAGAAATCTGCTGTCTGTTGACCTCAGCACCAACATTGGTAGAGATCTGCTGTCTGTTGACCTCAGCACCAACATTGGTAGAGGGAGGTTCTGCTGTCTGTTGACCTCAGCACCAACATTGGTAGAGGGAGGTTCTGCTGTCTGTTGACCTCAGCACCAACATTGGTAGAGGGAGGTTCTGCTGTCTGTTGACCTCAGCACCAACATTGGTAGCACGTTACTGTCGTCCTAGTGAGGCTCATATGCAGGATGTTATGTTACTTCAGCTCTATAAATTGCTCTGAAT